TCTTTGAAGGGTTCAACTCCAAGGATGCAAAGGGCCTGAACATTTATAAGAGCCCTAGGATTCCCTGGGTTGTGCTGCTCGCCCCCAGCCGCAGCTCAGACCTCTCTGGCCCCGGTACCCACCTGATAGAGTTCGATGTGCTGTTCTACTTTTAACTTGAGCCTCAGGAGACGAAGCTCCGCTCGGGAGAGCAATCCGGGATCAGACACTGCTTCTCGGAGCTCTGATGTGTTGAAGAACATATATATGCTGTGCGGGCTATCCTTGAATCTGTCATAGATTTCTGAGCGGGAGAAGCGGAAAGAAAGGATGTCAGGGGTTTGTTGGCAAGGGTGGGGTGAGCTGGCGCACCCCAAGTCTAACAGCGTGAGTTCTGGGGCTGACAGCTCTGGGTTGCAGGCTGACTCTGACATTTTTTGGCTGTGGGACCTTCCCTCTTGGGTCTGTTTCAATCTCTGTAAAGAGAATCCTAATCGCCCTTCTCTCCCAAGGAAGCGTCATTTGTCAAGTGTCCACCCTGCCTCAGGCTGGCACCAAGGGAGGCCACCCTGTTTGCTCAGGCCTCCCCAGGGCTTGGAGCTTCAAATGCAAGTTACATTGCAGAGTAAGGGTCAAGGGCATGGGCTTTGGGATCAGACAGTACCTCTGCTGCCTCTCAGCTGCGTGACCTTGGGCAATTCATACCCTCTCTCTGAACCTCGGTTTCCTGTTTTTCTTTGAAAAACAGCAATAGCATTAAGCTCCCTACATGCTCACCCAATCGCCCCCAACTGAAGTGCTGGGTAACCTTGGGCAAGTGAATTCCTCTCTCTGAGCCAGATCCTCATCTGGAAGCCAAGAACCAATTCCGGGATTATAGTAAAACGAGTGAGATGATGCAGGGAAAGTGCGTGGCGCCGTCTGCACACACCGGCCACTCGACAGCGTGTACGGTAAAGAGCGCTACCTCCCAGATGTTTCTCAAAGCACTTGACAAACACGAAGACATTTAAACCTCATGACAATCTCGTACTATCATTACATCCATTTAACACGCAGAGAAACTGAGGCACGAAAAGATTAAGTAATTTGCCCCAAGGTCACATAGCTAGGAAACTGCAGATTGGAAATCAGACTCAGGCAGTCTGGCCCCCGAGAGAGGGTGCTCTTAGCCCTAAGCGACCCTGGCTCCCTACTAATGTAACGTTATTAGTATTATTAGTTCCTCCCGCTGGTTAAAGGTGAAGGTCATTCCAGGTAGGCACAACTGCAGAGGGTAGGAAAAAATTAAGAGTGTTTTCTGGTTTAGGAAAAATTGGGAGTTGGGGATGTCAGCGCAGGCCACGAACTTCAGGACCAACTGGTAACTGCCTGGAGCCTCCTACAGTGGGGGGTGTGAAAATGTGGAGACTGACGAGAGGAAACCCTTCCTGTGGCCCCCTTCCCCCTCTCTCAGCAAGGCTAGCCTCCCTGCCTCCCTGCAGTAAGAACTATGCTTGGGGGGAGGTGTGCAGTTTACTCAGCAAACCCCAAGGGAAGGCAGGGTCTTGGCTGGGGGAGACAGATAGGAAGAGAGGAAGGAGGGAGTGGCAGGGTTGGAGGCTGCTGCACAGAGGGACAGGTGGAGAGATGGCCGACGGAGACACCGGGAGGAGATGTGAAGGAGAAAAAAGAGAAAGGGAGAGAGACAGAAACCGGGAGACCCAGACACGGACAGAGAGACTAATGCGGATGGAAGACAAGAATGGGGAGACACGTGCAAGAAGACAGACATGAGCGTTCGGGGGAGAGAAGAGGACTGGAGGTGTCAGTGTTGAAGAAACCTCTACAACGAAGGTGAAACGACGGAAAAGAAGGCGAGGCTGAGATGTGGGTGGGGAGGAGGCGTCATTTGGCTGGAGCCGCAAGCCGGCACAGGAACGGGCCAGGGACGCGCAAGCCCACCGCCCAAGAGAACGTGAAACCTGGGGGACTGCCCCCAAGGTTCTGGGGCCACGCGGGACGCCTAGGTCCCCGCGTGGGCGCCGAGGGGGCGGCCCAGTGGCAGCCCCGCCCCCAGCTGGGGTGAGGAGAGCGGGAGGCGACGCAGCCCGGAGGGCGGGGACCCGACCTGCCCCGTCTCGCCCCAGGCCGCGCGATCCCCGCCCCCCCGGGGCACGGGAAGGAAAGGGAAGGGAGTAGGGCGAGGCGGCCGGACGCTGGGGGTTCCCCGGCCTCCTCGAGAGGAACTGGGACTTCGGGGTCCAGCCTGCCGGCGTTTAGATCAGCGGGGTCTTCCTTCCCCCTTCTGGAAGTGCGGGCTCCTCCCCCCGCGCGTGGCGCCCACGTGGGGCTTTCTCACCTCGGTCTGGTGGGGCGCTCCCCTACGGCCCACTCCCTGGCTGACCGCGGCGAGTGGGGGGCTCGCCGCTCCCGGCGGGGATGGCACTGTGTATGCCTCCTCCGCCCCCTTCCCGGGTCCCCCCTTCCCGCGCTCGTGTCCCCCCTCTGTAGACCCCTTCGTGACCCAGATTCTGGGTCATTCCTCCGCTGGGCTTCCCGCTCAGCGTCTCCCACGTCTCTGTGCGGAACGCCCACGATACCTCCGTATCCCCGGCTCGCTCCTGGGGGCCGCTCGCCTCCCGCCAGCCTCCTGCCCCCACCACCTGGCGTCGCTTTCCCCCCCGCACTGACACACGCCCTCCAGCTTCCCTTTCCACGACTCAGCCCCGCGTGTTCCTCGCGCCCCCTGGAAGCGGGTCCACTCTCCACCCTCCTGCCACCTCTGGGTTCATCTAGCTTTTCTGTCTTTCTTGAATCTTTCTGCCTCACGACCCTGGAGCTCTGGCCCAACTGTCCCCGCTGCCCCTCCTTTCCCAATGCTGGGGTCTTCGCGTCTCTCGCACCAGGCTCCCCTGTCTGCGGCCCCCACCCCACGACCCCCGCACCTAAGGCGTCCTGGGAGAGAGCCTTTTCCTCCCCCCTCCCGCCAATGCTTCTCTCCCTCTAAGGGACTCCCCGCGCGACCCCGCGTGTCCCTGTCGCCCTCTAGAAGCTGTCCACTTCGCTCGCTATCTCCACTTCTCCAAGACCAGACCCTAGGGAGCAGAGAGCTCAACGCCATCGTCTTTACGACACCCTCGCCCCACGTTCCCGGAGCCCCCCGGGGGTCCTCTTCCTCCGACCAGTTTCCTCAGCCAGTAATTTCCTCCCGGTGACCCCTGCACGCCGGCGCCCCCTGGGGGCGCCCCTCCTGGCTCCCCTGCCCCTCCGAGCTCACTGTTTTTGGTTTCCACCATTAGCACGCGGGTGACCTCCTTGGCGTAGTAGTCCGTCTCAGGCTCGGGCTCCGGCTCCGCGCTCTCCCCGGCCACCCGGTCGCGGGTGCTGTTGTACAGCGCGAGCACGGCCTCGGGCAGCGGGCCGGGCGGCACCTCCCCCTGGCTCGGGGGGCTGGCGAGCCGCAGCTTGGACAGGATCTGGCCGCGGATGGCCTCGATGCGCTTCCGCTTCACCAGCTCCATGTCGACGGTCTTGCAGGTGGACAGTCCCGCGGCCGGCCGGCCAGGCGCCAGCACTAGTAGCCACAGCAGCGGTAGCAGCAGCGGCAGTAGCCGCAGCCCGGAGGGCGGCATGGGGGAGGCGGCGCCCCCTGGCACTGCCGAGAAGGCGAACAGGGCTGGTGCGATGGGGAGGCCCCGCCCCTGCAGGGGCTGGGGGTCTCCCGGGGAAAGGTAGGAGGCCCTCGGGGGAAAGTTGAGGCCCTCAGGGGAAAGAAGCACGGGTGGAGGGGAGGCTCTGGCCCCGGGTGTCTCACTGTCCCACGGAGGGAAGGTAGATGGGCGAGACCTGGTGCCAGAAGGTGGGTGGTCTTGAACGGGGGAGCTGTGGCAGGTCTGAGAGAGATCCGTCTCCCGGAGGAGAAAGGTCCTGGGATGCGCAGGGGCTCAGGAGACAGGCTACGGGGAGGGCGGCGCGCAGGGGGCTGCGCCCGAGGTCTGGGGTAAAGTCTTCGCGGGAGGCCGGGTGTGCGGCTCCTGAGGGCTGGTCCGGAATGGGGGCGCCTCGGGGACGCCGGGTAGGGAGCAGGAAGGGAGCAAGCGTCCGAGGTGGTGAGGGGGGGACGGTCTGGGGTCCTCAAGTCCTGCCTCCTCCTCGCGGGGCAGCGCCGCGCCAAGCGGTCCCCGCGCCTCCGGCTCCCAGCGGCAGCGGAAAAGTCTCAAAAGTTTTTTTTCCTCTTCTCCCAACCGACTCGTCCCTCCTCCCGCTCCTCCTCCCCCTCCTCCCCGCAGTGGCGGCGGCGGCGGCGGCGGGGGCGGCGGCGGCTTGTTTCAGACTCTGGGGCCTCGGGCTGCTCCTCGGCTGCTCCTTCCTCCGCTCCGGGCCGGGGCCGGCCCCGCGGGCGGCTCAGAGCGGGAGGGGGGTGCCCCGGAGGGGGCCTCCCCCCTACCCCCGGCCGGGGCCCTCGCTGTCTGGCAGATCTGCGGAGGGCGGTGGGAGGGAACGGCCCGGGGCGCGAAGGGCGGCGGCGGCGGCGGCGGCGGCGGCGGGACCGGCTGGGTCGGCAGGGGGTTTTGAAGCCGCCCCGGGCCCCACCCAGGAAGCGCGCGGGGCGGGGGCGGCCCCCAGGGGGAGGGCATGGGGGAGCCGGGCCACCTTCCTCTTCTCCCGTGGGCGGGCTCCGAGGGGGGTCCCTTCAGCCCTGGGGCAGAGGGGGCGGGCACCCCGGCTCCGCCCCACGGATGGGGTGCTGCCTCCTGGCGGCGGAGCACTACCAAAACGGGTGATGGAGATGCACGGTGGCTTCGGGGGCAGCGTAGGGTCACCGAGAGAATGAGGACCTGTCTGGCAGGGCTCAGTCAGAGGATGAAGACACAGGGGACGGGATCGGACGGGTCTCAAAGCAAGAAGAGAGTGCGAGGCCGGGGCGGACGATGGGGAAGGTCTGTCAAGATAGGGGGCCAGAGGAGAGAGGGTGTCAGTGGGAGGATGGGCCGACAGGACATCTGACAGCTGGAAGGGGTCTGAAAGGCGGGCACCTGTAAGAATCGCTCTCTTTTATTGAGAACCTCTCATGCGCTAAGCAGCCTCTTCTCACCCACTCCTGCGACCCCACAGATTACCGGCTCTACGTTACAGATAGGGAAACTGGGCCCAGAGCGACAGTTACTGGACTCCAGGTTCTAACAAGGACAGGAGCAGTGCCATGCCTTGGCTAAGGTCAGGTCTGACAGTCTCTTGAGCACTGTGCCACCCTGCCCCTCACTGGGTGTCCAAGGGCGTGAGTAGGGGCCAGCCATTGGAGGCAGGGGCCCTTAGCACTCAACGCCATAGCGGTCGAAGTGGCGCAGCAGCAGGCCGATCTCCAGGTGCACGGTGCCACCAGCAGCTGTGTGCAGGCGGTAACGATCGGCCCCACTGTAGATGGTGTCCCCATGCAGCAGCTGTGGCCCACCACCCACAAAGGCCCGTGCCAGCTGCTCCCGCCAACTGCCCAGGGGCCGCCATGTGGGGCAGGTCAGCTGGTGGGTGCCCGGGCTGCTGGGCACATGGCAAAATCCATAGCCTGCCAGCTGGCAGCGTCCAAAGCTGTCCTGGGACCACACCTGGAGATGGAGCCGGGGCCAACCTGCAGGACAGCAGGGAGAGAGGAAAGGAAGGATGGGTGGGGCCCAGCCTCCTGCTCCTGGATCACCCCCTCCTCGATACTCACTGGAGCCCCCAGGCCCAATCCTTTCGCTGCTGGGTGTCTGCCCCTGAGTTTCCACCCTAGCCTCCTCTCTGGGCTCCCACCCTTGATGCACCCCACACAACAGCCAAAAGCATCTTTCTAAATCCATGTTACTCCCCTGCTCAAAATCCTCCCATGGCTCCCCAGTGCCTTCGGTGTAAAGTCCAACTTCCTCACCATTCAAGGCCCTTCACATCTGGCCTCTGCTGACTTCCTTCTCAGTGGCCTCCTCCTCCGAGACCCCATGTCAGGGCAGCCTACTCCTCCTCCAGTCCCCAGGTCAGTGCCTCAGGCCTTGTCAGGGACACCTCCTTCCTGCCCCACCAGTCCTCTTTGGGCTTAGGGCCTTTTTTCTTGCCCCCTCCAATCTACCTTCCACCTGGCAGCTGGAAGCATCTTTCTCTCCTTTCATAGGTTTCCTGAGAATACAGTTCAGCACCAAAAAGGCCTTGGAAATCCAGCCCCATCTCATTTCATTCTGAGCCTCCCCCTCCACGTGAGGCCCTGTCGTATTTAGCTAGGGACACGGTGGTGAACACGGATGGCAGACAAAAATTCCTGCCCTTGTGAAGCTGCCATCCTAGACAACAAACACAGTAAATATGCAAATTATAGGGTATATCAGATGGTGATAACTGCTCTGGATAAAAATAAAGCTAGGTAGGGTGGGAGTGGGGATACAGTTCTAGAAAGGAGGTGATCAAGGAAGCTTCACTAAGAAGGTGACATTTGAGCAAAGGCTAAGAGGAGGGAAGGGAGTGGGCCCTTCTAGGGGCCCACGAGGGGAAGAGCACATCCAGCCAGAGGGAACAGCTAGTGCAAAGGCCCTGAGGAGAGAGCGTGCCTGGTGGGGCCAGCGTGGCTGGAGCACATTGAGGGGGGAGAAGAGGAGGAGGGGACAGGCAGATCGTGCAGAGCTTTATGCATGGTAAGACTTTGGCTTTTACCCTGAGTGAGACAGGGACTACCAGAGGGTTCCGAGCAGAGGGATGTGACCTGACTTAGGTGTTCACAGGATCCCGCTGGCTGTGCGTGGGGTGCAGACTGGGATTTGGGGACAGGGTGCACAGGTGATGAGGCTAATGTAATAGTCCAAGTAAGAGACAAACGTGGACAGAGCAAGGGGGGCCAGAAACGGGTGAGAAGTGGGAGTTTGGATGTATTTCAAAGGTAGAGGCCAGGTGTGGTGGCTCACGCCTGTAATGCTAGCACTCTGGGAGGCCGGGGTGGGAGGATCGCTTGAGGTCAGGAGTTCGAGACCAGCCTCAGCAAGAGCAAGACCCCTTCTCTACTAAAAATAGAAAAATTAGCCAGGCATGGTGGTGCACGCCTGCAATCCTAGCTGCTCAGGGGGCTGAGGCAGGAGGATCGCTTGAGCCCAGGAGTTTGAGGTTGCTGTGAGCCAGACTGATGCGACGGCACTCCAGCCTGGGCAACATAGCAAGACTCTGTCTCGAAAAAAAAAAAGTAAAATAAAAAAAAAATCCCACAAAGGTAGAACCAATAGTATTTCCTGATGGACAGAATGGGGGCCTGAGAAAAAAGAAAGCAAGGACGATGCCACCATTGGGGGTCTGGGGGCCTAAAGAGCTGAGAGGATATAGCTGCCCGCCTCACCTTCAATCCATCACCCACATGGCAGCTAGAGAGATCTTTTATAAGTGAAACCTCACTTGTTCATCACCTGCTCTGGCTCCCCAGTGCCTTCAGGAGATGGCCTCAGCTCCTTAACCTGGCATTCAAGGCCCTGCATGGCCCGTTCCCTGCCACCTCACCTCTGTCATCCTCCTGCTCTCCCTTGGTCCTCCAGATGCCTCTGGCTCACTCTCCCCGTTGAGCCTTCCACATGCATCATTCTCTATCTAAAAACCGCCTCCAATCCCCCGCCTTAATAACCCCCTCAAAACAAAAGTCCAAACACCCCCCCCCCAAGAAACCCCCCCCGAACCCCGCAAAAAAAGCAAGCAACCCCTCCGAACCCCCAAAAACCCCCAACCCAACCCCGCCCAACACGGGCCGCCAACTTCCGGAAGAAAGGGGGGCCCCCCCAAGGGAAGCCAACCCCCCGAAAAAAAGCCGGGGGGCCGGCCCCAACAACAAGAAGTCCCCGGGAACAACCCAACACAGGCTGGGCGCGGCAGGCCCTCAGTAAATATTATTTATGTTGTTGAAATATATGGCACGTTTACCTAGACCATTTCCTAGAATCTGTTCCTCTCCAGTAACCCCCATTTTCTACCAGAAAAGGTTTCCTGATACCCCTCGTCCCTCGAATGCTCATTTCCCCTTTGAGCAGCACCTCTGCTTTCAAGCTGAGGAGCTCTTCCTGAAGAACAGCAACCAGCCCTTGCACCTCCCTCCCTCTCTTCCTTTCATAAACCCCCGCCCAGCTTCCTCCTTATTGGAGACTTTTCTTGGTTTCTCTCTTTACTTGCAGGCCACCTCCCCTCCCACCCTGACCCCTGCCTTCCCACGTCCCCTCACCCTTGGCCTTGGCCCCAATCCCACACACTTGGGATCTCCTGTAGAGCAGGACTGGGAGGGCCTCAGCCCAGCTTCTCCAGCGCCAGGCTTGGCTGGGAAAGGAACCCACGAGGTACGGGAACAGGGACAGGACTTGGTGTTCCCAGCTCCAGCAGCTTCAGGAGCTAATGGCCCCCTTCCCCTCAGCCTGGCCCAGGGGGCCAGACCCAGTACCCACCTTGAAGACCTTTGGTGGCGAAGTGCAGGTCGATGGGGTGGGACCAGTAGGCCATGTCTCCTACCTGTGGGGTGTCCACCTGTGTCTGGCCCTCACGAATGCCTGACAGAAGCTTCCATGCTGCCCCTGCAGTGAGAGCCAGGACATAGACAGGGTAGGGAGGGGTGGCAGGCAGCCATTAGGAAGGGGAATGCTGCTGGGGCTATAGCACCATGTTTCTCCCTGGCATGTGGGATTGGAGTTACAAAATGTGGACTCTGGAGCCAAATATCTGGGTTCAAATCCTGGCACTATCTCTTCCTGCCTGTGCAATTTTGGGCAAGTTACCTTTTTCTGCCTTGGTTTTCCCATCTGTAAAATGCGTGAATAATAATGCATTCATCATTGTTTTCGTTTGTTTTCTGTTGCTTATAATAGAGTACCGAAAACTGGATAATTTATAAAGAAAAGGAATTGGCTAGGTATGGTGACTCATGCCTGTAATCCTAGCACTTAAATCCTAGGCCAAAACAGGAGGATTGTTGAGGTCAGGAGTTCGAGACCAGCCTGAGCAACGTAGCCAGACAAGAAAAAAAATTAATAAAAAATTAGCCAGGCACGGTGATGTGTGCCTGTAGTCCCAGCTACCTGGGAGGCTAAGGTGAGGGGATCACCTGAGCCCAGGAGTTTGACGTTGCAGTGAGCTATGATGATGCCACTGCACTCTAGCCCAGGGGACAGAGCAAGACCCTGTTTCAAAAACAACAACAAAAAAAGAAAAAAATAAATAAGAAGAAAGAAAAGGAATTTATTTCTTAGGGAGGTTGAGAAGTTCTAGGGTACATCTGGTGAGAGCCTTCTTACTGGTGGGGGACTCTGAAGAGTGAGGGGGCTGAGCGTGCTAACATGCTAGCTCACATCTTGCTTCCTCTTCTTAAAAAGCTACCAGTTCCCCTCCCATGATAACCCATGAATACATTAACCCATTAATCTCTTAAAGCTCCACCTCCCAATACTGCCCCATGGGGGCTCAAGTTTCCACATGAGTTTCGGAGGGGACAAACAGTCATTCAGACCATAGCACTCACAGTTTTGCGAGAAGATTAAATGAGGTAATACAGAGAATTCGGAACAATGCCTAGGGCATAGTGAGTGCTGGGGAAGTGTTCAAAATCGTTTTATTACTATCCTCACGCCACATTTAGAAGCACGGTCCAAGGTCTAACGCGGGGCCAAGGAGCACATCATGAAAAACACGTAATAATAGCGCTCCTGCTGAGGAGTGATAATAATAGTCAAAATGCACTGAGTGCTCACTGAATGCCAGATGCTACGCTAAGCACTTTACGCAATGCACTCATTTAATCCGCCCTCTAGGACTCTTAATCCCCACCCAACCCCCAGTTTACAGACTCTTCACCAGGGCCCACGAGGCCCTGCATGGCCTGGCTCATGCCCCTCTCCCTGAGTTCATCCTCATTCTCCCCTCCCTCGCCACCCTCTAGCCTCACTGGTCCCACTTCCGTTCCCTCACCTCAGGGCCTTTGCACTGGCTGTTCCCTCTGCCTAGAAAGCTCTGCTCCTGGATATCTCCATTCCTAGCTTTTTGTTTTTTTCATCTTTCAGAGCTAAGCTCAAGTACCACTTCTATAGAGGGGTTCTCCCTGATTCTCCTATCCAAAACCTAGTCCCTGTCACACTGTCCTATTTCTCTGCACTTACCTCTATCTGTAATCATTGTGCTCATTTCTTTATCTGCTTATTTTTGTCTCCCCTACTATAAGCCTCAGGAAAGCGGGGACCTTGTACACTGCTGGATCCCTCAGACCTCACACTCAGCTCTTGGTATGCAGAAGGTGCTCAACAAATGTTTGTGGAACAAATAAGTGATCATAGGAGGTAGGCGCTAATATAATATAATCCCCATTAAATAGGGTAAAAAAAATAGGATCTGGGTGGGAAGGGGGGTAAGGGAAGAAAAACTACCTCTTGGGTGCAATGTACACTATTTGGTCATGAGCACACTAAAAACCCAGACATCACCATTATACAATTCATCCACATAACAAAAACTACTTACACCCCTAAATCTATGAAAATAGATAGATTGGTTATTAGCTAACCCAGACGTCAACACTATACGACACATCTATGTAAGCAAAAACCACCTGTACTCCTAAATCTATTGAATCACAGAGACTAGAGAAATTGGGGGGTTCCGTTTTCAGAGTTCCCCCAGGCTTTTCAAGGACTGGTAAGTCGAACTTTCTTAGAGCTACTGCCAAGTTCTTCACTGTTAGTAGTTGATTCTGAAAAAAATCTTTTAAAATGATTTTAATAATCACTTTTACAGATAAGCTAGAGAATATATCATAGACTATGTATGTAATTTTTATACTAAATGTTATTTTTATTTCCTTTAAAAAAAAAACAGGCTCTAGGCTGGGCATGGTGGCTCATGCCTATAATCCTAGCACTCTGGGAGGCCGAAACGGGAGGATCGCTTGAGCTCAGGAGTTTGAGACCAACCTGAGGAAGAGTGAGATCCCTTCCATCCAGTCTACTGACCAGATTTTAAAAAAAAAGAGAGAGAGAGAGTGAGACCCCAGCTCTACTAAAAATAGAAAAAATTAGCCGGGCATGGTGGCATGTGCCTATAGTCCCAGCTACGTGGGAGGCTGAGGCAGGAGGATCGCTTGAGTCCAGGAGTTTGAGATTGCTGTGAACTGGGCTAACACCATGGCACTCGAGCCTGGGTGACAGAGCGAGACTCTGTCTCAAAAAAACAAACGAACAAACAAACAAAAAACAGGCTCTAAGAAAGAAAGTCTCTTGATCATTCATTCCATGACCATTTATTGTGCACCTACTGTGTGCCAAACACTGTTCTCCATGCTGGGGATACAGCGGTGACCACAGCAGACCAAGGTCCCATAACAGAATTGGATTCAAACTCAACTCTAACTGCAGAGCCCAAGCCTTTTATCCAACTGCCTGAGAGCTGTCTGCTGAATTAACACCCCAACTCTTCCCTGAAATCATGCTAATGAAAAAGAAAGCATGTTAGTCATTACTCCCTTCTGGGCTGGGTGAGGGAAGTACAAGGCCCTGAGTCAGGTTCTTTACATACAAGATTTCCCAACAGTCGCACGAAGGACAAATGAGGAAACTGAGGCGCCAAGAGGGGACAGCATCTGCCCAGGGCCACAGAGCAGGTGAGTCGTGGAATCCAGACTGGAAACCAAGTCTGACTTCAGGGCCTGCCTCTTATCCACTCAACTGGAGGATCCCCATTTCCCAGAGAATCTCAACTGTCACCTTACATACCAGTAGAATTATTATTATTTTTTTCTTTTTCTTCTTCTTTTTTCAATGGACCTCTGCGGATGGACTTGGATGACTACCAGAATGGTGTTCCTACCTTCTCACAGAGAATTATGAATACCAGAGGGTGGCTTTTCTCTGTAAAATTGGGATGGAAACTTCCACTTTATTGTAAGAACTCAATACATGGAAACTGTCAACCAAAGGATTATTAAGATAGGGGAGAGTCCCAGGACACCCCTAAGACAGTGCTGCGTAATCCGAACAAGAGAGTTAGGGCTGTCCAGGGTTTTGAGGACTGAAAAGAGTGTCAATGAGTCTATCCTGTAGTCCCATATCCTGTTCAGAGAGTGGGAGCCAGACCCCTTACAGATGGGATAGGATGGCATACGGGAGCAGGAGACTCATGTGCACAGGGAGTGTGGTCTGGGCCCAGATGGAAGATGGGGATCAGGGGCAGGGGGTCAAGGAAGGAGCATGGAGCCTGTAGGCTGGGGGTCTTGAAGGGGAAATGAACCAGGCCTGGCGGAATACCTGTGTGGACACCCCACTTGCAGAAGAGGCTACTTTCTGAGAAGCCGGTGGCCCCCATGATCTGCCCGATCACGTGCACCTCAGCCATGGCCCTGGGAGGAGAAAAATATAATCACAGCCCTGTGAGGTAAGTGTATTATCTCCATCTGAGAGGTGGGGAAACTGAGGCCCACCAAGGAAGGGGTAGTACTAGGATTCCAAGCTAGTTTCATTACAACCCTGAGGCTGCGGTCTTAAGCACAGATTCTAACTGCCCCCCAGGAGAGTCGGGGAAAAATGGGGGGCGCCAGCATCTAACTCTGCCAGGTCTAAACCAACCTCCTCTTTCGGCTTAGTTTCGCGGAAAGCCCCGCCCTACGGGCCTAGGGCTCCGCCCACGGCCGGAAGAGTCCCGCCCCCTCGCGTCAGAGCGACCCCCAAGCTCCATGAAGCGCATGCGTCTTGAGGTCAGGGAGGCATGAGCCCCACCCCTAAGCAGAGCGCATGCGTTATACCTACCTCCGAGTCCCTAACGACTAGAAGAAGCGAAGGCGGCAGCGGGGATTGTTCATGAGCCTGGCCTGTCGTGTCCTTTTGTCCGCGGGCGCCTATCAGACCTAGCTCGCGCCTCTCCCAGGACCCCACCTGGCAGCGAGAGATCTGAGGAGCTGTACCTCCGCGGCTGCGCTCGCCTTGGAGGGTCCCTGGTTGTTGCTGGGGCAACAGCAGGCTCTTCCCCTGGCCTGGTACCCGCCCTGCACACTTCTGATTGGTGCTAACTGCCATAGGGGGCGGGGAAAATCTGTGATGGACGTTTTCTCTATTTTGGGAAAATAGCGTCTCTCTAGCTACTGCTGAGGGTTCCGCCTTTTGGGGCGTGGCTGGGCAGCTGCCATCTTGAGTGTGGCTCAAGGAAGTTTGAGCGCCAACTGTTTCCTCCAGATACCCTCTTTACAAAATAAGCAAATCCCTCGATGCCCCGTGACCTGCCCATTGCCCAACAAACTCTCTCTGGTTCAGGATCACAAATCAGACGAGCCAGGACTAAGGGGGAATACCCCCCCAGGTCATTGTATCTCTCCCCCTGCCTTATAACTGGAAAACGGGAGTCTCTCTTCATTCAGAGAGACTCGAGAAATTGGGGAGTGGGTTACCCTTCCGTTTTCAGACTTCCCCCAGGCTTTTTAAGGGCCAGTAAGTCCAACTTTTTTCTCAGAGTGCTGCCAAGTTCTTTACTGTTAGTACCTAATTCTGAGCGTGGGGGATGGGGGGGGTGGGGATGAGAAATGAGGAACTGAGATCCCTTTATCTTAAGAAAATCCTGTTTTCGAAGACTGGACTCAGCCAGTAATTTGTCTTGTGACCCTGCCCGGCTCTAAGTCTCAGTTATCTCATCCATGTAGTGGGCACAGGGAGACTGAACTCAGAGGTACGTACCCTGTCTGAATTCCTGAGCAGTGCCTTTCTCACCCTCTAAGTCCAGTTGAACCTAAATCTTTTATTCTTCCAGCCTAGATTAGGAGTCTTTTGAGAACTTGTTCTCAAAAATGAGGACCACAAAAAGATAGAGTTACCATCTCAAAATTATAGGGAGGGGACAATATTTCAGTGGGATAACATTTATATAAATAAAATAATTCAACAGACTATTTCACTAAGATATGTATTTTAAAACTACCATTTATTGAGGGTTACATCTGTGCCAGCCCCTATAAACTATAAACATTTTACACACATTGCCTCCTTGAATCTTCACATATATCCCACGGGGTAGGTGATATTATCAGCTTTTTACTTGAAATGAAATTAGGGCAAAATCTGGCCGGGTGGAGTGGCTCATGCCTGTAATTCCAGCACTCTGGGAGGCTGAGGCAGGAGGGTCCCTTAGCTTAGGAGTTCCAGACAGCCTGAGCAAGAGTGAGAGATCCCGTCTCTACTAAAAATAGAAAAATTAGCCGGACAACTAAAAATAGAAAAAAATTAGCCGAGTGTGGTGGTGGTGTATGTCTGTAGTCCCAGCTACTGGGGAGGCTGAGGCAGGAGGATCACTCGAGCCCAGGAGTTTGAGGCTGCTGTGAGCTATGCTGACACCATAGCACTCTGTAGCCTGGGCAACAGACAGAGTAAGACTCTGTCTCGAAAAAAATGGTTAAGATGGTAAATGTTATCTGTATTTTACAATTAAAAGGTTTTTTGGGGATTTTTTTTTTGAGACAAGAGTCTCAATCTGTCACCAGAGAGCTCTACCTGCAAGTGAATTAATCTCTACGGTGGCCTAGGGGGACGATGGGACCCGCAGAACTCAGTGATTAGATAAAAAATTGAGGCTGGTGGGAATTCATGGCCTCATCTCACAAATATGTAAGGAAGGCCTTCTTTGTGCCAGGCACTGTTTTAGGCCCTGAGGCAAAGCAGTGAACAAAAGAGATCAAATCCTAGCCCTTGTGGAGTGGACACTGATGTAGGAAGATGCAAATTAGGATCAAAAGAAATATATGTTTCATGGAAATGTGAGAAAACAACTAGAGCAAGGTTAAAGAGATAGTAACAGGGTAATCCTCTCGGGTAAAACAATCCTGCCCCCTCTCCCTCTCCTCCATGGGTCTCCCTGTCTCCGTCGTCTGCCAGAAACTCTGGCTGAGCCAAGTGCACTTGCAGACGCCATCTGTTCTCCCCAGGAGTGGGGCCGATGCCAGCTCCAGCGTCTGGACTCTTGGCGCGGAGCCCTGGCGCCCTGGAGCGAGAGAACTCTGGTGGCCCCACATCAGGCCGGCGAATTCTCCAGTCTGGTGAGATGGAGGGCTTCTGGGAAGGGGAAGCCAATGCAAGACTCGCTGAAGGAGGCGGAGGCTTGCCGGATGAGGAGAGTTCTCTAATCAGCCTGATGAGGATGGATTTAAATAATAGTATTAATAAACACTGTCAAACACGTTCAGAGCACTTGCTCTGCCAGGGTTTGGGTAAATGTTGAACATTTGTTATCGTGCCGAATCTAAGTACTTTATGTATGTTATCACATCTAGGAGGCAAGGAGTATTATCCCTATTTTATGGATGAAGAAATTGGGGTTCAGAGAGGCAAAGCCATTGTTCAGAGGCCACACAGCCAGTGCCTTAAAGAGTCTGGAAAGGAAACCAAGTCTGTGTGGATCCAAACACTAACGCATGAACACTACCATGCCACCTGCTAATCAGCGCATTACCCCATCCCGGGCGGCAGTCCTCAGCCTTAGAAGCCCCCTCTGCCTCCTCCCCTCCCACTGGGTCAGCAAAGAACACAGCTCTGGGTGACAATCTGCTGGTCCTAATACTAGTTGTTTACTGCGGCCAAGTGAGCATACACCTCTGAGCCTCAGTTTCTTTCTTTCTTTCTTTTTTTTTTGCAAAATAGGAACATAAACAGAGCTACTGAGAGGAATGAATGTGATGATGAGTGTTAACACAGGGCCTGGGGCGTAGTCTGCACTCAGTGAACCCAGGGTGTGATCTTAGGCAAACTACCTAACCTCTGTTTGCCTGTTTCCTCCCGCGTAAAACAGGACAATAAATGATAGTGCCTCTCAGGGTTGTTCTGAGGAATAAATGTGTAAGTATACATGTAAAGCACTTAAAACAGGGCATGCAGTTGACTGTCGCTGCTGTTATTATTATTACTGGCTATTATTGGACAATGGCGGACGGGGGAGGGAGGCGGGGCCAAGCCAGGAAGGCCCTGGAGAATTCGGGGCGCTCCCTCCTGCCGTTGGCAGCGCTTGGGCCTGGGCTCGGGGTTAGGGGGCTGCTGTCCTCTGGGTTCCCCGCCTGCTCGCCTACACACGGGGGTTGGCAGAGACCCGCGCCCGGTCGCTGACGTCGGCCTTCAAGGCCCCATCACCGGCCGTCGCCGGGGGGGCGGAGCCCGGGAGGCCGTCGCCCCGCCCCATCCCCGCCCCCGCGCGCAGCGGGCCCGGGGCGCCGAGACCCGAGAGGAGCTCCGCGCTCAGGCTCCGCGCCCCCCGGCCCCGCCGTGGAACGCCGGGCTCGCCGAGTTTGCCCACCCCACTGGCGGCAGGGTCTGGGCGGGTGTCCTGAAGGGGCCCCGGAGGTCCTGGCCTGAGACCCTGGGCGGTGAGTGAGGGGCGGGGGTGGGGGGGCCCTGCCCGTCCCCCTGTCCTGGCGCTGGGGAGGAGGAGGCTAACCTTTGGCTAGGAAATTGGCTATGTCAGGGTTTGAAGCGAGCCGGCAGGAGGCTGGAGGGCCTCTGGGGGGATTGTAGGGCGAGAAGAATATTCTTTCTGGTTGTGTTGAGTGTGGACGTGTGTGTGTGTGTGCTGGGGTTGAGGGCGTTATGGGGCGAGGTGTGCAAAGGGGATTCGGGTAAACCAGGACGTGTTTGGAGAACTGATGGGTGTGGGTGGAGTAGGGCAGAGGTGCGTGGACCCGGATGAGTGTTTGGGGCAGGTGTGTGAGGGAAGTGATGGGGACAGGGGACAGTGTTGTGTGTGTGTGTGTGCGCGCGCGCGTGTGTGTGGTTTCTGATGCTCTGGGGATTAGGAGTGCGCAAGGAATCACTTGGGATAAATGTGTAAGAAGGTTGCAGGCCTGAGAGGTGTGTTTTCTGGGAGCCGACGTTGTTTGGGGCAAGTATACAAGGAGTCCTTTGGGAGATGTTTGTGCGGAGGTGGGGGTTGGGATTGCCTGGATGGGGCAGTATGGCGGGGGACTTGGGGTGCAGGTCTGGGGGGGAAGGGAGGGGGAGTGTGGACTAGGGTGAAGTTCCAGGCAGCACTGGGGGTAGGGGGATGGATGAGTACCTGGGAAGGGTGCGTGGCCTGGATGGGCAGTTAAGGGACGTGCACCTGGGATGGGGTGGGGGGGGGGTTGGGGCAGTGTGTAAGGCATGGTTTGGGATAAGTGTGCAACAGGTACGTGGCTTTTGCCTGAGAGAGAAGCCCAGAATTGAGTGTCCCCACCCATCAGTTCCTTTTGTAACTTGGGCCAACCTCTTTTACTGTCTGGGCCTCAGTTTCCCTATCTGTAAAATGGATCTGAGGGTCACTGAACTAACTGGTCACTGCATTACTTTCTCCAAAGTCAGGGGTCAGGGGATGGATGAAGTGAGACTTTTATAACTTCTCCTTTTCTTCCTCCTACCCCCAGGAAACCCCTCCTGGAGTCTCCCCCCAGCCATGGACAGCCCTAGTCTTCGAGAACTCCAGCAGCCTCTGTTGGCAGGCGCAGGCTGTGAGCCCCCTGCCCAGAAGCCTGGCCAGCCTGAGCTGGGGCCTCTCTTAAGAGAGACAGCCTTTGTGGAGTCCCTCAGGGGCTGGCAGTTCATACTACCACCTCTTCCCTCCGTGAGCGCTGGCCTGGGGGAGCCAGGGCCTCCTGACGTTGAGGTAGGAACTGGAGGTCTTAGTGGAAGCCATGGGTGGGAGCGCGGAGTGAACTCAGCTGTGGCCAACATCTGGCAGGCTGACAGCTGGAGGCATCTGCTTCATGCCTGGAGTCTCACTTCCCCACTGTGTGTGGGCTTCTGGGATTTCCAGTGATGGTTCTTCCTGTTCTCTGTCTTCCCTGATTTCTTTACCTTTTCTCTCCAGATTTCTCTCTCATCTTTGTTCTCAGCCTCTGGCTCTTTGTCCTCCCTCTGGTCTCTGACCCCTCTTCTCCATCTGCCTGTCTCCAGAGCCAGCGCACCTCTGGCCTCTGCCTGCCCCGCTCTCTCTTTTTCAAGTTAATATCACTCTTGATAATTCATTTATTTATTTTTTAAAGCCAGTCAAACTTGTTATAATTTATTATTCCTTGTACACACCGTCAAACTTGTCTTTCATTTCTACTGTTGTATTAGAAGACATCACCCCAAGACTTCGTAGTTTAAAACAGCCACAATCATTAACTCTCTTGGTTTCTGTCGGTCTGGAATGTGGGAAAGACCTATTTCAGGGGTTCTGCCCTCAGGGTCCTTCATGAGGTTGCAGTCAGCCAGTGGCTGGAGCTGGAACAGTCAGGGGCTGCTGGGTATGTCTCTGTCTTCATGTACTCTCTCCGTGGTCTCTTCCTGTGGGCCATTTGTGGTTTCTCGCAGCACGATGGCTTCAGGGCAGTCACACTCCATATGTGCCTCCGCCATGGATGTTTCAGCAAAGCAGAAGCTGCCTCACCTTTTCTGTCTTAGCTTTGGAATCGTGTACCATTACTTCCACCACATTCTATTAATTGCAAGCGAGTCACAAGTCCAGCTCAGATTTAAGGGGAGGGGACACAGACCTCATCCCTTGATGGGAGGAACATCAAACTCACACATGTGGGATGAGATTATAATTGTGCCCTTTTTTGGAAAACACGATCTGTCACACATAGTGCCCCTCACTTTGACATTGTCTCTGGGAACTACAGCATCTGAAGACTTTGAGGGCCTTACCATTTGTGCAAGTTCACGTTCACGGTTCCTTGTGTGCCTGGTTATCTTCAGCCAGTATGCTGTGGTCATCATATTTGAAAAATTATTTTTAGGAAATATTATCTTGAAGCCTAGAATGAAGGGACGTACCTTCCTGCAGAGAGGGTTTGGTTTGCTTGTCAGTTGCCAGGGGGCACTACCAGTTAGAGATGTTTGCAATCTAATTCAAGGTTTGCATGGAAATTTTCTGGGAATCTGTAATCCGAGCACGGTGGGAAGCCTGGGAAGCCAGGGGAGGACTGCTTGAGGCCAGGAGTTCAAGGTTACAGTGAGCTGTGATCGCACCACTGTACTCCCTAATTCCTTAAAATCTTGTGAGCTATTTGCTGCGTTTAAGATTTTTTATAAATATGTGTATATATATATTTTAAAAGGTGGAGAGTGACATTCAGCCTCCACTAGGGGGGCCAGCAGACCTCTCCCCTATAAATATTTTTAAATCTCTAGACTCTGTAGTTTTCAGCAGGCAGATTTGTCCTAATCATTTAGGCCTTCGGAACATTCCATAATCTCCCATCTTTTTGCAGGTTCCCGTTCCCGATGGCATGTGTCTCCACTTCAGGGGCTTTTAATTTAGAGATCATAAGCAGTTGCAATGTCCGTGATCGGGTCTTGCACATGAACTCAAAACTTTGGGTGTGGGTGGGGTTCTTCTCTGGAGACAGGGTCCACAGCTTCTCCTCAAAGAGCTCCTGGATGTAGAAAAGTCGAAAGCCCATCTCTGAACATTTTTCTCTTTGTGTCTCTGGGGAGGTGTTGGTCTTTGGGGGCTATGGGGAGGGGAGCGGTGGGGTAGGGGAGGTGGGTGGAGATGCCCACCCAAGCCCTCTCCTGCCCGTAGGACGTGTCATCCAGTGACAGTGACTCGGACTGGGATGGGGGTGACCACCTCTCCCCACTCCTACCCCACGACCACCTTGGACTGGCTGTCTTCTCCATGCTGTGCTGTTTCTGGCCCGTGGGCATTGCTGCCTTCTGTCTGGCCCAGAAGGTCAGTGTGTGGGACTGGGAGGGGACTGGGTATAAAAGAGCGAAACGCACCACGGAAACAAGAGGAGCAATACCTGAGGGGGGCTGGGGGAGATGGAAGGCAGCCTGGAGTGGTAGTTAAGAACCTGAACTTAAATCCTGAGTCTGCCGCTATCTGGAAGATTCTGGACAAGTCACTTCACTTCTCTGTGCCTTTTTCCTCATTTGTAAAATGGGGATAATTCCTACCTCAGGGGGTCATTGTGAGAATCCAATGAGTTAGAACAGTGGCACGGAATAATCTAGGTATGTTTTTATTAGTCACCCAGCATCCCCAGAGCCCAGCTGTGCCTGACCCATAGTAGGTGCTCCGTTTTTGGAATACAGGAATGAATGGGTATGTGGGGTGGGGGAGGGGGCAGGGGCTGCAGGAGGCAGGGTGGGGATGAGGGGATGCCTGGGTCACTGCTGCCCACTGCCTCTACAGACCAACAAGGCTTGGGCCAAGGGGGATGTCCAGGGGGCAGGGGCCGCCTCCCGCCGCGCTTTCCTGCTGGGGGTCCTCGCCATCGGGCTGGGCGTGTGCACGTACGCGGCTGCTCTGGTGACCCTGGCTGCCTACCTTGCCTCCCGAGACCCGCCCTAGCTGTGGCCCTGCGGCACCCCCTGTGAACCCAGAGCCGGGCAGCCAAGCGCATCTGTGGGCAGAGTGTGGAGGACCCAGGCGGATGAGGCGGCAGCAGCATCCGGAAATGGGAGCGAGCCGGACAACACCCTTCCCTTCCTGACCGCTCACCTGGCGGCAGCAACGCGAGATTAAACACCAGACCCCCCCCCTTGCAGCCGAACCAGAGTCTGTCTGTGTGTGGGGGAAGGTGGGAGGGGTCGGGGGTGCCTGAGACCACGAAGGGACTGGCCCGGGTGACAGACTGTGGTGGCCATCCCCACAGTGCTCCGAGACCTGAGCTCAAGAAGGGGGCCGAGGGTTTCCAAACTTCTCTTTGAGCCTCACTTTTTCTCATCTGTGAAATGGAACCGATGTTCTCCACATCTGGGGCTGTGGGGAGGATTCAGTGCATCACGCGTGTAGTCGGCTGTTTGCTGTCTCCCTCTGAGCTCTTCTGACAGCAAGTGGAAGAAACACAACCGACTGCCACAAGCAACAAGAGACGAAAACAGGTAGATCTGGACTGGGGCTCACATGAGATTAAGTTTGCTCTGTGTCCATCTCTTGGCCTTCTTTTCCTCTGCTGGCTTCATTCTGTGCCAGTTCGCCCTTCTTGAGGGAGAAATACGGCCCCAAGAGCTCAAGCACCTTAGGTACCCACAGAAAGTGTAAATCCCTTCCCAGGTGGGCTCTCATCAGCCCTGCCTGGGGTGGGAGGTAACCCAAATGTCCTGAGATCGGGAGGGATAGATCCTTAAGGAAACATTGAAGTGCTGGCACCTGGGCAGAGGCACATAGGAAGTGCTTGCTAGCATGCAGCAGGGGACCCGGCAGACACGAAGACCCCCAGACATCGCTGGCCTGCTGGATTCACGACCGTGTGGCCGGGCTGTACGATAGCTCTTCTCTGCAGGAAGCTCACAGGTCCTTGGCTCCTGCCCACTAAATACCCTGGGGGTGGGGCGAGGGGAGCAGTCAAATGGCAACTAAACATACCCCTCATATTTCCAAATGCCCCCGGGGGGTGCTACCACCCGACTCATCACCAAAAACCAGCCTCAACTGCATTTCCAGGTGGACGCACGTGGTCCAGAGCGTGCTGGGTGCCAGTGCTTCCCTGGGTGTGGTCTCAGTGTTAAGGACTCCGGGGCTGGACCCCTCAAGCGGGACCCTTGCTCCGCTGCAGACAAGCTGGTGACCTCAGGCAGTGAACTGGCTTCTAAGCTCGTTTCCTCACTTTAAAACGGGGACTATAATAACAGCCCTACCTCGCAGGGCTGTTGGGTGGGAAAGGAATGCTCAGAGCCAAGTTCCTCCCAGGGCCTACAACGCCCTACCTGTGTGCTGTGACGTCCCCTCCCTTTCCTCCCCACCTCCTGCCCTTGCTCACTCTGCCCCGGCCACACTGGACGCCTGGGTGGCCCTGCCCCACCTCATCCAAGAGCTGCCTCCCTTTCCTCCTCCAGGCACCTGCCCCCCACACGCCCCTTCCTGGGCAGGTGCCCCTGGCTAACGTGCTGGGTTTGTCCTCTCCAAACGAACTCTCCCGAACTCCTGTGCCCTGGCTTTTTAATTTCTTCATAGTATTTACCCCACTGCTCCTCAAACATGGATCTGGGTCTCTCTTGTTCACTTGCCAGTTTCTCAGCACCTAGCAGGGCCTGCGCGCAATGGGTGCTCCCCAGACGTCTGTTAGAATGAATGGATTTACTAATCCGTCCGATAAACCTGAGTTCCTTTTAATGCTGTCCCTGTGGGGGAGGTCTGTGCCCCCAGGCCCTGGAGCTGTCAGGGGCCGAAGCTCTATCGTCCCCCACCGGAGCCTGGGCAGCTGCAGAACCGCAAGCCCATCACACGGACGGGCGCACAGGGAGTGGCAAGGCTGGGCCTCCGGTCTGCTTTAGGCTGGAGGTAGTGGGTAGTGGCAGCAGGAGGGGCTCCCTGCCCCGGCTTGCCTCAGCTCTTGGAGTAACGCCTCTGCAGCGATTCCCGGTAGAAGCGGAAGACGTGTTGGGAGGCAGCCTGGGCCGCAGCCAGGCATTGCTGGAGCTGGGGGAGGGGAAGAGACTGGTCAGTGCTGGGGGCCACGCCCTGCACCCACAGGCAGCCTGGCTGACCCAGGAGGTCCCGCCAAGCCCACCTGACTCCCTTCACCCCCAAACCTACCATATCCCATCATGCCCCCACCCCCACGGTGAGGCAGGTGGTGAGGCGATTATTTCCAGTGCATTCCTTCTTCCTCACTTCATGATCTTAGAGGAACAGGAGAAAAAAGAGGGCGAGGACTTCCGGGATCAGGCATCTTGACCCCTTGGAGGAGACCCCAGCCTGGTAAAAGCTATGGAATTGGAGGAGTCTTGGGGTTTTAGAGCCATGGGCCCTTTGACCCCAAATCTTTTTTTTTTTTTTTTTTTGAGGACAGAGTCTCACTCTGTTGCCCTGGCTAGAGTGAGTGCTGTGGCGTCAGCCTGGCTCACAGCAACCTCAAACTCCTGGGCTCAAGCGATCCTCCTGCCTCAGCCTCCCGAGCAGCTGGGATTACAGGCATGCGCCACCATGCCCGGCTAATTTTTTCTATATATATATTTTTAGCTGTCCAGATAATTTCTTTCTATTTTTTAGTAGAGACGGGGTCTCGCTCTTGCTGGTCTCGAACTCCTGACCTTGAGCGATCCACCCGCCTCGGCCTCCCAGAGTGCTAGGATTACAGGCGTGAGCCACCGCACCCGGACTGACCCCAAATCTTTACTGACACATAGTCCTAGATTCATAGGGGGCCCATGATGCAAATGCTCTTGGAGACTCTTTGGCCCAACAGTTTCCAAATTCTGTCCCTTACAGATCCAGGATTCCAGGTGGCCACCACTCTGAGCGGAGCACTGGGGGCCTTCACATGCACCCACCTCCTCGTCTCAAGCTAAGTTCCCTTCCCTTCCCCCACCATCTTGTAACTTGGTCTTCCCTTTAAAATTTCCACAAAGGTTTCTGTGGTTACAAAGTTTGAAAGCTCCCTTTTTTACATATGGGATGCAAGGAACAGGCTCTCCTTAAACCTCTGAGTCCAGGGCAGAGTTGGAATGCACTCTGGGAGGCCGAGCGAGGCAGGAGGATTGCTTGAGCCCAGGAGTTTGAAAAAACAAACGAACAAAAATCCACAACAAAAACAAGACCTCGTATCAGGCTGGGAGGGAAGGTTCTGGCTTTTACCGTCACCCCCACACTGGTACCTCAGCATCAGAGTAGAGCCCCTTGGTGGTGGACATCAGCAGCTTCTGTTCCACACTATCGAGTGCAAAGGTCAGGACTGCCCGGGCCTCCTAGGGACAAGGGGTAGAAGGTGGTGGGGACCCTAAAATACTCTCCCGAAATAAAATCTCAGGCGATCCCGCAGAGGGGACTCTAGGCCCTTGGCCTCAAGGCCTTGCCTATGTCACAGCCAGATGCTCCCCTGTCAAGTGTAGTCTTTTTCTGTCTATATCACCACTTCCCTGGGAAACAGCTCTCCACCTTCCCTTTGTAGACCTGTTCCCCATCCTCACTTCAACCACGTGGCTCTGACAGGGGCTTCTCCAAGCACAGTACTCCTGTCCCATAGGGCCAGCCATAGTGCCAGGAACCTTCCTGGTGCCTCTTAGCTTCCCACCTACCCTCACGGTCTGCCCCACAGGGGCTGGAAGCTGGCAAGCTATTTCCCAGACTCCTTTGCCAGGTAGGTGCTACCAGTAATCCTGGAAGGAGGAGAGAGAAAGCATCCTGCCCTCATCGTGACAGTGGCAGGTGCTGAAGGTTGTGGCAGTTGCTGTAACAGCCATGGAGGTGGGGTGGGTTCTGGGCTTCAGCAGCCAGGGCAGAGGCGGGGTGTGTTTCATGCATCCAGAACCGACTCTGACACCATCTGCAACAGCACAATATAGGAGCTGGCCCAGGGCAGGTGGGGGCTTCCCGTCTCTGGGTGTTAGCCACTCTACCTTTCTTTTTGCTCTAGTTTTTCTAACACGGTGGTTACCAATTCTCTGCATTCGATTCCCTCCATCTGAAATATCCCAAGTGGCTTCCGTTTATCTGACCGGAAGTGATCATTACAGTACTAGGCAGATAACTCATAATAATAACCACAGCCCTAGGACACCAGGAACCTGAGCCAGGGAGGAAACTCTCTTCTCTTCCTCCCTTTCTGCTGATGCGAGTTTGGGTTGGGTTTCTAGCACTTGCAGTCGAACGAACCCTGACGAAGAGAGACAGCAGAGCTTGCCACGTGGGACTGAAGTGGCACGAGGCAGCTGTGTGCAGAAAAGCAAGGTCTGGAGGAAGAGAGGGAGAGCCATCTGGCCACCACCCGTCAGCCACCCTGGTCTTCACACCTACCTTTTCTTGCTTGGCTGTGGGGTCCAGCACGAGGGTCCCATCAGCGCCCAGGGTGCAGGTGACTCCACAGAAGAGAGCCCGCATGGGCACCCCTGCGTCCACCAATGCCATGCAGGCAGCATTCAGGCAACAGGCCAGGAGCTGAGCACCACGGGGAGCGGTTAAGAAGTTTCTACTGTAGGGCTGGGCAGCAGAACACATCCATGCCTCCCTTCACCCTGCCGATGCCTGTGGCAGACATCACTAATCAGTCACAGAAAGGGGGTGTGGCAGAGTGGTTAAAAGTGGTTCTAGAATCAAGTAACCCCAGGTTCCAGACCTGGCTTTGCCATTGCTACACTGTGTGACCTTGAACAAGTGACTTACTCAACTGAGTCTCAATCTCATCAGTTACATGGAAGTATGTTTTAAGTGTCTTCGGGGAAACTGTCAGAGAGGGGAAGAAACCTTTCAAGGCCTCGTGGCGAAGGCACTGGCAAACCAGGCCCAGAACCTGGGAGTCTAGCAGGCGGCCACTGCCAGGTGACAGAGCTGGCTGGGCGATGGAGGGAAGAGCCATCCTTGCTGCTGTCCTCAGGGAGCTCACAGTCAAGGGTGGCCTGTGGCCCTGGCACAGTGGAAGCAGAGCACAGGTGTGCAGTCAGCTGGCTCTGCCTCAGTTTCCTCATGTCTTTCTTCCCTAGGCCCAGCAGAGCAGATGAGGGCCCAGCTGTAGGATCAATCAGTTCCAGCCCTGCAGGTGACCCTCTCTGTCACTTCCCCTGAGTTTTAGTTCCCTCTCTAAAAGGCCAGATTCTGGTCGTCACCCTCAACCTCACTCACTGAAACCACAGGGATTTTTCAAGGTTGAACCTCCCAACTGCTCTGCCTGTTCAGGGCTCCCCCGGCACTAAGAGCCTGAAATCCACACTAAGGTGCAGAGTAGAGGTCACTGGAGTCAGACAGGCCTGGGCTCGAGTCTTGCCTCTGCTGCCTTCTAGCTATGCAGCAGCGGGCAAGGAACTTCCCCACTATGGGCCTCAGTTTCCTCACCCAAAACATGTGAACATACAAGATCTCATTTGCTAGGGTCCTTGGGCTCTAAAACTAGATGATCTGGGCCCAAGTCTTGGACCTGCCACTTATATGGGAATTATAATGGCACCTGTCTCATGTGCTCTATTAAATGAGTTAAGATGCATAAGGAACTTAGAATACTGCCTGGCAAGTAGTAAGCACTCAAGCTACGTTTGCTGTTCTTCTTCAAGTTGGTGCCTGTCAAGTGTTTAGAGGTTTCTGCCTAGCAGGAGAGGTGTACATGGCCGTCAGAAAAGAGGCGAGCAGGGAAGTTCTGGAAGACTTCCTGGAGGAGGCGGCCTGGGGGAAAGGATACGGAGCCAGCATCACTGATGACCTGCAGCACCACGGTGATGGAGGTGCGAGGGTGCAATGCTCCCAGCACCACTGCCTCGCATGTGTTCCTGATCAACTGCTCCCGGCTCTTCTCTGCTACGCCTGGGGAAATTGAAGGGAGGTTGTCAGGCTCTTCCGTTCCATCTGCCTCACCTTCCTCAATACACCCCA